AATCAAGCTGATTTAATCTCTAAAATAATTAAATTTGTAATTAATAGGTTTTTCCAAGAGGTTCTCCTCTTGTAGCAGATGTTTCAAGAGCAATCCTTAATGTCACTGAAAGCTTTAGAATAGGGGATATTAAAAATGCATGGAAGAAACAAACCAATTGTCCTGATTCAAGCACCTTGGATTCTTCAAATAGTCTGAGTCTTGGAAGCTTTTGGGGCCTTTTCCTCGTTGCCGGGGTGACCGGTGTGTTAGCTCTTGTCTACTCTGCAGCGGAGTTTTTATATGAGCAGAGGGACGTGTTGCGCGAGTGTGACCCTGGAATTTCAATATGGAATAGAATTCTTCAAGTATTGCGAAACTTCGACCAGAGAGACCTGACCTCACATGCCTTCAGGCAGCGTGGATTAAGAGAGGAAGATAGCAATATTGAAATCATTCCAATTAGAGGTGCTGTTGAATCCCCGGTTAAGATCCCTGTTAAAGCCTCGATTGAGATCCCTGTTGAAGCCCCTGTTGAGATCCCTGTTGAAAACCCTGATGATATAAGTGGCGCAGCAACATCCGTGGAAATAGAAATTCATCATGCTAGCACAAACAGCTCATGAAAAAGCTTAGCTCAACACCAGTAACAATATTAGTGTGGTTTCTAAATCTTTTATATGGGCTTTCATCCAAGTTAGATTTTTGTATTGGGCTGTGTTTGTATATTATGCATAGTATATAATTGTAGTAGCTGTAATCTTTAGTATGTACGCATGTACTCCACATAAAATTAAAACATCTGCATCCAAGTTAAAAAATAAATTTCTTACTGGTTAAACTGCAAACTCATTTACAATGGTTAATAGTTTATTGAGAAATGTTAGAATATTAACATTTATATTATATTAATATATTCACATCATAATTGATTCTATATATTTAAGTTAATTTTGTATTTAAAAATATTTTTTTGGTATAAATCTATATATAAATTAACAAGAACAAAATAATTTTTTTTAAAATATTTATCTTCTTTAAGTATGTAATATAGCATGAGAACTATAAATTCCTGCTTGTTCCTTCTTTTTTCTACAATCATCATTCTATTTAGGACTCATTAATGCGAAGGGCAATGCTGGGAACACTCGCCATTTGCACCCTCCAACCAACACTTTCATTTTCATTAGGCCATGTTATGTTGGTTTGGACAGGTATTCATAGCCAAGAAATCAAAACCGTACCTACTAATTGGTACGGTCGGTACGTACTGATTTTGAAGGTTGATCGAAACGGTATAATATTAATTTTCGTTTTGGTCAAAATTTGATTATTTTGATCAAAATCCGATATACCAACCGAAATTTTGATGTATTGGTCGGTTCACCGAAATTTCAACCGATACACACTGCAAATTAAAAAAAAAAAAAAGGATTTCCTAACCCAAAACGACGTATAACTCAATTCAAATTTAAAAAGGCTCTTCATATCTTGCAACGCAATACACAAAAGTTGTCGTACAACTCAATTCAAATTTAAAAAGGTAAATTTCATTTTTGATCCTCAACTTTAATGTTATATATAATTTTTATTCTTTAACTTTTTAATGTACTTTTTTAGTCTAATTTTCATTTTTTTTAGTCTTTCTATCAATTATTTTGTTAAATTTATCTAAATATACATATTTTTAGTCCCTTAATTTAAAGTGGATGGACGAAAAGTATACATATATTAAAAGTTGAGAGACTAAAAATGATCATTTTAAACTTATTTTTAATTTATAAGAATATCATAATTTTAAAGATTAGTATCTTTTATTTTATTTTAAAATTTGATATTTAATTTATAAAAATATATATTTATAGCGATAAATCCGAAACAGTACACGAAAAATTCTGGTATTCGATACATATCGTTCTAGTAGCAAAATCGGTATGTATACCGCTACGGTATTGACTGCTTTGATTCATAGCCCAAGCAAGCTTACGTGGCCCAATAAAAAAGCATGTGTTGGGTGGAGAGCGCAGGAGGCGAGTGCCCCTAGCACTGCTCTTAATGCGAAAGAGCCCGATTGAGTTTTTCAACGCTCTGTTTTGTTGGTGGTTCTGGTTCGATTTGGTTTGATTTAGGTTAAATCCCTGGTTCAGTCCCTCAACTTTCTTTTTTGAACTAAATTTACCCTCAAACTTCAAAAAGTACTAAAAAAACCCTAAACTTCAATTTTTGGGATCCATTTTATCCTTCTGTCAGTTAAGTGCTGATGTGGTGAACTTCTCCGTTAAGAAATTCAATTTCTATCAATATTGAATGTAACGTGAAAATAAAATAGGTGATATGGCATCTTTTAATTATAAAATTATTATGACGTAACAACATGAATATAATTTAATAAATAATTATTAAATAAAAATTTCTTTCCTTCTTTTGTCTTTTTTTTTTTTTCCCTTCTCTTTTCTTTTCTCTTTCCCTTGCCTACTAGGTTCAACCTAGCACGCCTGGGTTCGATGGATCCTAGGTGGGTTCAACTTGAACCCAGGCGCGGATTCCTTCAAACCCAGGCCCTGGGTTCAACCCAGCACCTGGGTTCAACCCAGCACGCCTGGGTTCAATGGAACCCAAGCACAGGGTACCTTCGAACCTAGCACACCTGGGTTCTTTGGAACCTTCTTCATTCTTGCTTTTTGCTTCTTCTTTTCTCTTTCGAAATTTTTGAAAGAAATCCCATGATTTTTCTCGTTGGTTCTCATTTTCTTCTTTTTTTCTTTTGTTTCTTTGTTAGTTGCAGTCATGCTTAGCTATCTTGCTATGGGATTTAGAGTTTTGTGTGGCTTTTGCTTGCTTGAATTTCAAGATCTAGCTATTGTTGGTGTTGATTGAAGGGATGTTGTGTTTTTTGCATTTTCCTTTTCTTTTGCAGATTTGGTGTAAGTTTGCAATATGATTGATTTGTTGAATCTTTACAGATCTGGTATAAATTTACAGTGTAATTGATTTTTTGAACTAGATCTATTGACCATTATTATTGTGCGAGGAACCAGATTTGGGTTCCATTAGAGAGGAGGTTTGAGGAAGAAGGAGATGATGATTAGAGTGGTAACGGATGACCAGAGCAACGAGGGATGATCGGTGCTAAGTGGGCTACAAGATGAAGAGGCATCTGAGGATAGAGAGAGACAAGAAAGGAGAAAAAGAGGGGCTGGAAGATGGAGATAGGGGTATTTAAGGAATTTTGAAATTTTTAATAAATAAATTAATTCAAATGACATGAACAATAAAAATACAACAGTGAATTAAGTTATTTTCTATGTAATTAAAGATTTCAAACAAGAATTGATTTCGTGGCAACTTAACGTGCCATTTGGCACTTCCGTCAACGGAAGGACGAAATTGGTCTCGAAAATTGAAGTTCAAGGATTTTTTTAATACTTTTTGAAGTTTGAGGGTAAATTTAGTTCAAAAATGAAAGTTAAGGGACTGAACCAGGAATTTAACCTTTGATTTATGCTGGTTCGGTCTGATTTACTTTTTGTTGGTTCATAGAGGATGTGTTCAAGCGACAATGGTATAAAGATT